AAGCAAGGTTTTTGAATCTTTAATCAACAAACACTTAATCTCTCATCTTGAATCAAATAACTTACTTTCTGATCATCAATATGGATTTCGGTCTTCTCGTTCTACAGCTGATGTGCTAACAGTAATAACCGATAGGTTTTACCGTGCATTAGATAGAGGTGGAGAGGTTAAGGCTATCGCACTTGACATTTCTAAAGCTTTTGATAAAGTTTGGCATGCTGGTCTTCTCCATAAGCTTTCTTCTTATGGTGTAGCTGGTAACGTCTTTAAGAATATTGAGTCCTTTCTTTCCAATCGTAGTATAAAAGTTGTCCTCGATGGACAACACTCTTCTTCACATCCTGTAACTTCAGGGGTTCCTCAAGGTTCAATCTTTGGCCCTATACTCTTTTTAATTTACATTAACGATCTTCCAGATATTCTCACATCTAAGGTGGCATTATTCGCTGATGACACTACCATTTACTCTTGTCATGATAAGAAGCCTACACTCTCTGATTGCTTGGAGGGGGTATCTGAGCTTGAAAAGGATCTCACTTCTGCTACAGCATGGGGCTCACAGTGGCTGGTGAACTTTAATTCAGATAAAACTCAATTTTATTCGGCCAATTGTTATCGTAATAATTTAGATCTTCCTATATTTATGAATGGTAATGTACTAGATGAGTCATCTACCATTCATCTTCTAGGATTAACTCTTACTTCTGATCTTTCTTTTAAACCGTATATCAAATCCATTGCAAAATTAGCATCTGCTAAGGTTGCATCTCTTTATCGAGCTCGACACTTTCTTACTCCAGATTCTATTCTCTATCTCTATAAATCTCAAATCCGTCCCTGTATGGAATACTGTTGCCACATCTGGGGCGGATCTTCTAATGATGCTCTTTCTCTTTTAGACAAGGTGCAAAAACGAATTGTAAACATAGTTGGACCTGCTCTGGCAACCAATCTCCAACCTTTGTCACATCGTCGACAATGTTGCTTCTCTTTCTCTTTTCTACAAATACTATAATGGGCACTGCTCTAAAGAGCTAGCGTCCCTTGTGCCATCTACTAAAATTCATTCTCGTGTTACTTGCCATTCAATTAAGCCTCATCCTTTTTTCTGTGACTGTTCCTAAGTGCTTCAAAAACTCTTATTCTTCTAGTTTTTTTCCTCGAACATCAGTTCTTTGGAATTCGCTTCCTTCATCTTGCTTTCCTGATTCATATAATTTGCAATCTTTTAAGTCATCAGTCAATCGTTATCTTGCTCTACAGATTTAGTCTTTTCTCTTCCAGTAACTTCCAACTCTTATAGTGGTTGCTTGCAGCCTTGTTGGAAGTGAAGATGTTAAAAAAAAAAAAAAAAAAAAAAAAATATATACGTATGGATTTTATTTTTATACGTATTTTATTTATGGATTTTATTTTTATACGTATTTTATTTTTATACGTATGGATTTTTCATGGCGTACGTATGGATTTTATACATTTTAAACAAATGGATTTTATATGTATGTAATAAATATTGCTCTATTATTTAAAAGTATTGAGCACTCTTAAACACACAAGAGTATTTTTATTATTATTATTAAACCATAATAATACATTATCTATTTTGTGTATATATATATATATATATATATATATATATATTTGTATTTATATATTATATTATATATTATATATATATATATATATATATATATATATATATATATATATATATATATATATATATATATATATATATTTATATATATTTATACCTTGAGCATTTGTAGAATATTTTAGAATACACTAACATAATTTATATATATATATATATATATATATATATATATATATATATATATATCTATATTTCAAGTATCAATATATAAATATCATGTTTTTAACACGTATATATAAAATGTGTATATATATTTAAAAAGATAAAAAAAAACACCAAAATGTTTTTTTTAAGAAAATTAACATTAAAGCATTAAAAGACACATTTTATAATGTAATAATGATTTCATAAATACAAAAGTATTACCAAATATACATAGTACAAAATAATTGTTGGCAGAATTATTGTATTCTATTATTATCTTGAAAGAGTCATTTTATTTGAAACAAAATCTAGTACTTGGTCATAACACTTTTTGCAGCTAAGACTGCTTTGATTCTTTTAGGCATACCGTCAACAAGCTTTGTTAATAACAATGGTTCTAAGCTATTCCATGCCTCTTTTAGGCAATTGAAAAGACAAACTTCATCATTACACATTCTTCTTTTAATTATATCTTTGAGTATTGACCATAGGTTTTCAATTGGGTTTAGATCGGGAGATTGGCTAGGCCACCATTTCAGAGTTAGCATATTATTTTCAACATATGCTTTGTTATATTTTGCAGTGTGCTTAGGATTATTATCTTGTTGAAAAAGATAGTTACCATAGTTACCATCTGGAAATAATTCCAAGCATCTTGGCTTTGCATTATGAACAAGGATACTATGGTACTGGTATTGATCCATATTGCTTTTAAACTTGTGAATTCTTCCTGTAGCATGCGCGACAAAGCATCCCCATACGTTAATCTTTTTTTGATGCTTAACTGTGGCTTTTATACATTCATGATGATACTTTTCATTACTACGCCTCCAAACAAAAAATCTTCGATTGCATCTAAAGCTAAAAGGAGACTCATCTGACCAAACAACTTGTCTTCATTGGGTAATAGTCCAGCCTTTATGCTCACTGCACCATTGAAGCCTACGTGCAAGATTGATCTTTGATAAAAGAGGTTTTTTGATAGCCCAATGAGAATCTAAATTTACACTCATGTAAATGACGAATTATAGTTTTTCTAGAAATATTGGTAATACCAGTTTCTGCTTTTATCCCATCTGTAGAAATACGGCAATTTTTAAGGGCAGCTTGGACAATGTGTCTATAGTAGTTTTTCTCTTTCTTCCTGATTCAGATTGACGGACTGTTTCTCCTGTCTCCTTATACTTCTTTAGAAAATCAGTAATAGTACTTTTTCCGCATCCAACCTTGCTTGCAATATCTCTATGAGTCATACCAAAGGATGACATCTCAATAATTCTTCCTTTACTAATGGCATTTAAAACCATTTTTATATATTATATATTTATCTAGTCTAAAATGTAATAAATTAGCATATTTCACCATTAATAAATACATCTTAGAATTTTTTTATATATACAGGATTAGGGTAAGGTTAACCCTGTCTATCTACAATTAATATTTTATTACAAAATGATCAAATAACTTGAGAGTTATTTAACCATAACTATGAAAAATAAGAGCCCAAATATGAAAAGAAAAAAAAAGTTAACTTATACTCACTATGAAACTCTTTTTTAATATAAGAAATGTCATAAGACATTTAAATAAACAAGAAATATTCAAAAAGTTGAGATATTGAGTTAAATATCTGAGAAATGCTTTTAAAACCCATAAAATGTAAATTTTATATATATATATATATATATATATATATATATATATATATATATATATATATATATATATATATATATATATATATATATGATCTTTTGCATGGTAAGCGAAAGAGACTTAAAGGGTGAAAAAAAAAAATAATACATATATAACATACACATTTTGAACATATTGACTTTTTTGGTGAAAAATAACTTGAAAAGAACCTTTTAAAGGTTTATTCTATACACATTTGGGACACCAACATAATTAGTTTTGAAAGTATTGACATCTTTGGGAGATATTTAGTCTTAAATTTGACGTCTTTGTGCTGATCCTTTTGCAATTAGCCTCTTAATAAAAAATAAAAAATTTGAGGGTCACCAGAGAGTTCTATTTTTAATTAGTTTCACAAAGAAAATGTACTTTACATATATATAGGATGGTATATAGGATGATAATTTATATTTTTAAATTTCATTAAAATATTTTTTGGCACTCAGAAGATATAAAAAATTTTGAACCCCCCTTACCCCCACATTTTCCCATTTCCCCCTACTCTTTCCTTTCCCTCCTCCCCTCCTCCTCCTTCCTTCCACCCCCACCCCCATCCTCCTTCTTTCCACCCCCACTCCCCGCTCTCTCCCATTTTTTAAATTAAAAAAGTTGTCAAAAAATAGATGCAGTTTTTACTATAGTTTTTATCTTATGTCTGGAAAGAGCGGTTAAAAAAATCCTGAAGTTAAAATAAGATTAATTGAAATATATCAGTATCTATTGTAATCTATTGCGTCTATTCTAAATCGCAAATAAAGCTTTTCGAAAAGCTTTACAATATTTTTTACAATAAACTTTTAGTATTTTTTACTTATAAACTTTCCAGTTTCTTTACAATAAACACTGTAAATTAGTAAATATAATATTTATGCAGTATTTAATGTTTATATTTTAAATATAAAAAAGAAAATGAAACGGTTTTCTTTACTAATCTTTTAAATAACAAAGAAGACTTTATAAATTATTTAAAAATTTTTTTAGATTTAATGTTATTATATTTTATAACTTAATTTTTACTCATTAAATAAATATTTAGTAAGTTGTGTAAATTTTAAATAAATTTTTTGTATAAAATGTCGCGATAAGAAAAACCGTGTAAAACCTATAGCTAAAAATCAATAGCTTGTGCTTGCCAAGTGCATTTTAAGCGTGCATTTATTGGTTCTTGAGCTCATTTCTTCGACCAAGGCCATTTTCATGTTTTCATGAAAACAATTTTTTTTTGAATTTGAAACTAAAGAAAAGTAAGTGTGTCGACTGACAGAAGCGTTATTTGAAAGAAAATGCGAATTCATTAAAGGATCCGGGGGGTTGTAATGGTCAGGGTTAGGGTTATATTTTTATATTTCTCCGCGTATTTAACTTTGTACAAAAATAAAAAAGATAAAAATACTAACACATTTTTGTTAAAATATTAAATTTTTTTATGTAAAAATTATGTAAAAATATTTAATGATATATAAATATGTATTTTTTTCTTTAGATTATGAATTTTTTTCTTTAGATGAATCGATGAATCTTGATGAATATATAGACATGACACCTCATTTTGGCGAAGGCCGAGTAAAGGACTTAAAAGGTTTTGTCAAGTACTATGGAATTAGTTTTCCTATTACCTGAATACGTCGAATGACATTTTGATTTCAAAGCTTATACTTCTGAAAGTCAATAATCCTTCATGAACTTCATGCTTCTAAACTACTTCTGTTCTTGAAATTATTTTGTTTGCTAATAAATTTTTTACGTTATTGTTAGAATAGAAAGTTTAAGTAAATATGCAGGCGAATGTCATAAATTAATTGATATAAGTTATTCAATATATGTTATACAATACACAATTTTTTAATATTATATTTGATATATCATTAAATGTATCAATGAAAAAAGTTATTTATTTCTTATTTGTTTATTACAAATATTTTAATAAAGTTCAGTAGTTGTTAATTCTTTCAAATTGATTTAAAATGGAATGCAATATACACATTACAGATGCAGAATAGGAAATAATGTGGCCATTGTGTTAACCTCCCCCTTCTCTCTCCCCCCTATCCCAATCCCCCCCCCCCCATCCTTCCCCTGTACATGCTTATCACACCTTTTTAGGTAATTGAAACCATGACAGTTGTAATTGAGAAATCGCGTTATGTAATTTGGTACTAGGTAAAATGCGAACTGCGAACTGGTCAAATGCGAACTTTTTTGCGAACCATCGTCCTATTGGTTGTTAATGATGTAATGTTTTACTTCCGTTAAATAGTTAATTTAGCGGTATATTTTAAGGACTTTTAAGCGAAAAAATTAATTAAAAATAAATAAAAGGAGTTTAAGTGAAACTAGAAAAATACAATATAGTTTTTTTTTTTTTATTATTATTTGATAGCGGTCTGCCCAAACCAAATTCCCTTAGTCGATGTAGCAGCACTCTGTTGCGAGTAAAGCTATAAGATAGTCGATGTAGCAGCACTCCGTTGCAAGTCAGGCTATATATAATAAGTTAGTAATTTCAAAGTTTCTTTCATTTTGAATCAGGGCCGGGGCTATAGTTCCCCTAGCTCTCACCTCCTAATTTAAAACTGAATATACGCGTCAAAGACTGACAAAAAAAGTTCAGAAGCCTTTAATAATTAACATTAATAAAAAAAAATTAAAAGACTTGAATATGTTAGGAACATCGAAAAAAAAATCATAAATAATCATCAAAAAATACCTGCTTCAAAAGATTCAAACCTAATGTGGAACTCGGTTCTTGACGAAAATATGAAAAAAATAAAATCTATTGATATATTTAAAAGAGCTATAAAAAAAACACTTACTAAATTTAAACAATACGTACATTCTTTCATTTTTTTAATTAAAAAAAGATATATATATATATATATATATATGTATTTTGCGTGTGTATGTATATATATATATATATATATATATATATATATATATATATATGTATGTGTGTGTATGTGTGTATATGTATATATATATATATATATATATATATATATATATATATATATATATATATATATATATATATATATATATATATATATGTATATATACATGTATGTGTATGTGTGTATATATGTATATGTGTATATGTATGTGTGTATGTATATATGTATGTGTGTGTATGTATATGTGTATATGTATATATGTATATGTGTGTATGTATATGTATATATGTGTATATGTATATATATATAATGTCTATAAAATGTTCAGAATCTTTTTTAATTCAAAATATCTTTCGTATATTTAAATATATATTATGAAGTTTATTGGATATGCATACGCATATGTACGGATTTGTAAATTATTTTTTCAAAATTTTTTCTTTTTTATTATTTTCAAACTTTTTAGTTTTGTCAAACTTAAAAATTATTTTTTCAACTTTTTGATTTTTTCAAACTTTTTAATTTGTTTTTTTTTTTTAAACTTTTTTTAATTTCACTCTTTTATATATTATTGGAAATTGTAAAATTTTATTTATTTTTTTTTTTATTTTCACGAAGGGGCTTGGTGATAAGACATTTTGTCTTCTACTTGCCCTAGTCAGCTTGCATTTGTATAAATTTATTTGAATGTAAGGTTAACATTGTAAAATGTGTCAAATGACGAAAAATAAAAATTAAAAAAAAAAAAAAAAAAAAAAAAAAAAAAAAAATGTAAAAGCAAACTTGATGAACTGTTTAGGGTGTGATCGGGGTTCGAATACTGATGACTGACAACTTTGTGAGCAGCCATAGCGCAGTGGTTAGCTCGCTTGCCTTAGAATCTAGAGATCCGTAGTTTAACGTTTCCTCTGGGCAAGTTTTATAACATATTTAAGGAAGAAAGCGTGCACTTTCTTTCAAATGCTCTTCCGCGGTGCTCTGCAATAAGACCGTATGGTCTTTTTGGGGCACCTAAAATTAAATTTAAAAAAAAAACTTTTTTTAACAAGAAATGTCGTCATGATTAAAACTCGTAGATGATAATTTATTGCAGACTCTTGTGTCGAGTTGTTGGTTAATTTTTGGAAAGGGTGTTTGAAAGTACATTAGTTCAGCTGTTGCCTTTTGAAACTCTACAGTTAAATGCTAACCCCGGTGGAAACAATCTGGATAAAATTAAAAAAGGAGTAAAAGTGCGAATTGCATTCCATCTTTATTAGGTGCTACCATTGTAGAACAATAATGGTATATTTAGAAAGTATTGTTACTGTGACAAAAAAAATAAAAATTATGAGGGTGGTTGTGCGCGTGCTGCGTAGCATACAACCACACATTATTCAACAGTTTTAAATATAGAACACGTGAAGTAAGTGTTTAGATTTTATTTAATAATAAAATAATAATAAATAATAAAATAATTAATAATAAAATTAACCTAAATTTTGAGAATCCTGATACATTAATATTTTTCAATATTTAACTCTAATTTTTAATGACACTGTTTAGATTTAATTTACACCTTATATTTTTTTGTAAATAAGTTATTATTTTTTATTTATTATTTATCTGAATTTTTAATTGATTTCAAATAAAAATGATAGTTGCAAATGACATTCGATGGGATTTCAATCACTGCAAAAAAAAAATTTTTTTTGAATTTTTTTAAATTTATTATTTATTTTCATTTTTTATTCACACTAACACAATTAGACTGCTTAGCTAATAAATGCTATTAAAAGCGCCTATCTAACCTCCTGGATTTAGGCAGGAATGGAAGCTTTTATTCCTCCTCGTTGGTTTCAAATCAAGCCTCATTTTACTCCATGGATTTTTCCTTTACGTGCAGCTTTTATATCTAATGTTAATCATTTTTTTCATTCTTTTTAAAAGAAAAACTCTCTTGATTAAATGCGGCTATTCATTATTAAAAGAAATCGATGTAAAAAGAAGCTGTCTAATACTAAGCTCCATTATTCTCAGTTCACTAAATCCTGGTTCTTGTCTCAGAGGTTAGGCTCCAAAGACTTTTAGAAAATCTTCAACAACATTATTAACAAGGGTAGACAACATTCCTGTCATAGTTTAAAAAATTCTTCTCTAGAATTCTCTTCAATTCTCTCTAAAATATTTAATAAATGCTTGATTGAGTCTTGTTTTCCTGTCTTTTGGAAAATGGCATCTGTTGTTCCTATTTTTACAATCTCCGGAGAACATTCCGACCCGTCAAGTTATTGTCCGATCAGTCTTCTATTTTTAGCAAAGTTTTTGAGTCTTTGTTCAACAAATTTCTCACATCTTATCTTGAGTCAAATAACTTATTCTCAGACAATCAATACGAATTTGATCCTGTCACTATTCGGCTGACTTGCTAACTGCTATGACTGAAAAATTTTATTGTGCATTAGATAGGATAGGATAGGGCTATTGACATGGCTATTGCTCTTGATATATCTAAAGCTTTCGACAATTAGATATAAAACGACCTAAAAAAATAAAAATTCGACCATTAGATATAAAAGTTTGATATGCTGGTCTTCTGCATAAGCTCGCTTCTTACAGTGTATTTGGAAAAAATTTCCAAATATAAAGTTGTGTCTTTCTAACCGCTTTATTAAAATTCAAGGTTCAATCCCTGGTTCTATTTTTTTTCTTATCTACATTAATGACAAACTTACATCTAATGTAGCTCTTTTTGCTGATGATTCAATTTTATACTCCTGCGTTAAAAAAAAAAGTCTTCTCTTTAACTGATTAGAACAGGCAGCCAATCTTGAATCTCACTTTTGTAACAGATTGGGGCTTGTAGTGGCTTGTGAATTCTAACTCCAATAAAACTCAACTTTTTTTTGTAAACAACTATCGTAGTACTGTCGACATCCCTATATTAATGAATGGTAAACCCGTTTAATGAGTCCTCTTCTTTACGTCTTCTTGGGTTCACTCACAACTCACCTTTCTTGAAAATAATCAATTGCTAAAAAAATCCTCTTTGTCTTGCTCGCCAGTTTCTTACTCCTGGTTCCATTTTCTACCTCTAAAATCTTTTATTTGTCCCTGTATCAAATACTGTTGTTATATTTGGGCTAGTTCTTATAATGGCACTCTTTCTCTTCTAATCAAAATCTAAAGACGCATTTTAAACGTAGTTGGACTCGCCAAACTTGAATCACTCTTCAATCGCCGTAAAGTTGCATCTCTTTCTCTTTTCCACAAGTACTAACATAGTTGCTTCTCAAAGGAGCTATCATCTCATGTTCTATCAACAAAAACTCATTCTCATTTATTCAGTTATTCACTCGTTATTCAGCATATATTTGACTCTCATTCGTTTACTGTATCTGTCCCCGCATGATCAAAAACCTTTGGTCGCCTAGTTTTTTCCCCACACTTCAACTCTTTTTAAATTCTCTCCTGTCTTCATGTTTTTCTGACTCATACAACCTACAACTTTTCATGTCCTCTGTCAACCGTTTTCTTGCCCTATAACTCTTTTTTTTCTTAACTTAATAGTGGTTTAATCTTAACTTAATAGTGGTTGCTTGCAGCCTAGTTGGAAACGAATCAGAATAAATAAATAGAAAAAATGGTGGATTCCAGCCTAAATTACAAAGTAATCTAAGACTGCAAAATAAAAAATTGAATAGTTTTTATAAAGTTTAATTATACTTTATGTTTCAATTACATTTTGAAACGGTCTTCTTTAACAACAGTTTGGTTTTTAAGTCTTTCAATCTTTATCTTGCTCTATAAGCTTCATCTTTTCTCTTCTAATAACTTCCAAATCTAATAGTGGTTGCTTGCAGCCTTGCTGAAAGTAAAGAAGTTGCAAAAAAAAAATGTGGCTGCGAAAGTGTACAAGAGGAAATATCAAAAACAATGGAATAGAATTTCCACCGTTTT